CCGCATGCTAGCCCGACTCAAATGGTAGTCGATATAGGCTTATCAAACCCGTTGAGGGCTGAGGGTTTGCCAAAAATCCTAAAAGAATTATGGTCAATCATTTCCGGCCTTTTTGAAAGCAGGGGCTTTAAATGTCTTATACACTTTATAACCATTATTAGCAAGTTCCACCAACCAAGAAACTAATGTCTCAATATGTGGAGGTTTCCATTTTTTGTTACTAGTTCCCTTTGCCCCTCCTGTCAGAGTTTCTTTGTTCCTGGTTGACTTTCGTATCTTCCCTTTATTCGTATGGTTTCCATCTTTTGAAGGAGAATTAACCTCAATACTTGAAATTGAATTTTGTGAAGCATTATTCTGGGAGCTTTGTGATCGTATAATTTGTTGGCTCAAATTTATGGGTGGGAATCCAATAGGAGTTCCACCAATATTGGCATTCATGAATTGTTGATTAGGCGAATCTCCAAGACGACAAAAAACATAGGGGTTTCCAAGAGCGTGTACTCCTTGAGAACGAGATTAGTGTGAAAATTATTAATCTAGTGTTGAAGTGACTTGAAAGTATCCAGTCCTGTTACCCCCATATGCACACTTTCCTATATTCTCCATCGTCCTGTGATATTGTAAATATTCATGGAGATAACAAGAATAAAGTTTGCATTATGACAATTAGAAAGTAAAACTATAAAATTAGACATACATATATTGAAGCTCATCATAAAAAAGAATATATCAATAAAGAAATGTCAAAGATACACAAAATTTGGTTCCAGTAAGCTTGATAATAGGAAAAACATAAAAAAAAACTTGTTCACTTAATGATCTAGCATATATTGGTGGTATCAATTAAAATAATACAAAGCACAAATACTAATCACCTAATCCAATTTCCACCTCATTTCCTTCCTTATATCGAGCGCAATATTCTATCCACATTGACTTTGTTATTTCATCTCTTTTCTTTAACCAAATAGCTTGTGCTTCTTTCAGTTATCTTTTGCTTAAATTGAGCATGCTAACCTCAGATTCTTCATTAGCAAATTCACTCTCTCGTTCATCAAAAACTATATTTTCTGTTATGTAACGATCATCTGGACCAACTATCATTATAAAATTATGTAGAATGCAACATGCAATAACAATCTTGACCTGTGTTTGAAATGGAAAATCATGACTAGATATTAGAATTTTGAAACGATTTTTCAAATTCCAAATGTGCTCTCTATCTTTGATCGAAGTGATGAGTGACAAAGATAAAAAAGCTCGTGATGGTTCAATGGTTCTCTACCGTCTTTCTCTTTAAGATGGTAGCGCACACCACGATAAGGTGCAATAAAACCAGGCATTATCGTATATCCAGCATTGTAGAGATAATATTTATCTACAATATTAACATGAAACCAAATTATTAACAAATATTTTTTAAACTAATAAAATAGTTTATAATTTAGTTTATATTTTATTACCTTTAGTCAACCGCAATCCCTTTGGAGGAGGCATAGACAATGCATTCCTCTAAATTGTAAAGTCATTAGCGGACTCTTCCCATCTAGCCATGACATAACAAAATAGCTTATTAGGTGTAATAACTACAAGCACATTTTTGTGTGGGACCATCTTTACGACCATGAAATCGAGCAACTATATTATCACGGACAGACGCAACAATGTGTGTTCCATCAATCATACCAATACAATTCTGACCATTTAAACATACATAACATATAAATTCACCATTTTATATTACATATTACCTTAAGAAGTATAGATATAAATGATTGAAAAATAATCCACTTTACCTCAAACCAATGGTACCAAGTTGATCTACAACGAATCTCATCGGATACCTCACCACTCGCTTGCTTCATTAGTAATGGTCTCAGTTTTAATATTGCCACAATGACTGCATTGAAGTACCTACTAATAGTTTCGCCTGAACGTACGAAGTTTATACCAACAACCCTATTTTTGTATTTTCCCCTACTATGTGTAAAAACATAGCAACTTACTCCTCGATGGAAACATATATGGTATCTTTAAGAAGTCTACACTTTCGTAACATGCAAACAAGCTTAAAAAAATTGACTTCTATCCATTCTTAAGTAGTCATATGCAAATGTTCTACCGCCATAGAACAATCGATAGATATAAGCATTTCTCAATGAATCTCTCAACTCGGTTGGTTCCTTAGGAGCTACTTCTCTTTTATTCTCAAACAACATAAAGTAAGCACACACTATCCATGCCACATATGCCGCAAAGCAACTTAGTGTAGCATCTCTAGCTTTTGAAGGTTCCATATTCTACATAAAACAAATAAAACAATGTTATAAAATAAAAAAAAATCCGCGCACGACGCCAATTTATTTCTCACATCAACAAAAAATAACATGATTCTCACATCCTAGTAGCGTCGTTGTCTCTAAAATCTATTTTCTCATGCTACCTATAAATTCACTTTACATTAAGAAAGGACGGTTCATGTAAAATCTATTATACCAGTAAACTCATAAAAACTACATTTCACTTGTAGATGCTATATATTTCACCGATTTAAGAAAATCAAGAAGAATGATATGAAACTATTGCGAAACGAGACGCCACTGTGATTATGAAAATACTAAAAACCCAATAACTAATCTTAACCAAGGGCCCAAAACAAAACCAAACAACATTGCCATCGCAAAAAATTCTCCGAGTTCACGCGTTGGCTGATTACACCAAGCTAGTATATACCTTAACATAAATTCATGAGAACAAATACAAAAAACCCACGAAAAATTTCATAATCCAACAGTTCTCTAATCTTCAAATCCCAGCAACACATCCAATGATCTCCCCCATCAAATCAGCCACGTCTAGAAGAAGACTAAGAAGACGAATAGGAAAAGAACATAGACCCGACACCAAACCCAACAAAATTCTGATTTATTTCTACATGAACCCAAAAATAACCCCAATTTTTTTTACTGTTATGTCTCAAAAGAACCATAACTAAAAGATAAAATTTTATGGAAGGTTTCTACAAGAAATGTAGAAATGTTGCATGAATTTAATTACAATAAAAGATCAAAATTTTAACCTTTATATACCTTTTTGGTGAAGCTAAGAAGAAGAACGACGAAGAACGCTTTTTGCTGCGAAGACGACAACGACTATGCTTGCTGCGAGCTTGAGGAAACCCTTTCACGCGAGGACTGGAACGGCCGCGAAAGTCAGTTATGAGGAAATCAATGGAAGGGGAGAGTCGGTTGGATAGGTGAAGAGTCAAGAGTCAGTTGTGAGGATAGGCGAAGAGTCGGTTGTGAGGAAGGGAATCTGATCACTTTCCTAGTTATTATTTTATGGATCATTTTTTTCTCGTGGACCCCACTCCACATCAACTTCCGCCGTATTTCAGTGCATTCGAAGGCGAAAAAATATCAAGGAAATAGAGGTGCCAGCTAGATGCTACGTCAGTTATTAAAGAAGTAGCGGGAGTAGTTTTTACAGTGAAACAAACATAATTTTTTATATGGAAGTAATAAAAATGACCTATTTTCATCTATTTAATAGCTATTTTCATGCAAACAAACAGACCAAAACAAATGTGAAACGCACCCTCGCTTACACCCATTTGACCTGCGGGATCCACTTATCAATCAAGGGAAAGGAAGTCAAGTCGACGGTCAACAATTGACGATGCATGAATCATAATAAAGCGTTGGTGGGATCGGAGAAACAAAGTGATGAATTTCCGGAAATGCCACCTAAAAACGGAAACCACTAGGCGTCTGTTCTCTCACGTCCAATCCATCAAAATGGTATTTTCGTCATTTAGAAAAATACTTTTGAAGTTGTTATTCTTCCCCGATTTTGTTTGCTACAGTTGACATCAACTCACAAATCCTAATGATAAAAAGGTGATTCAATTGAAAAAAAAAAGCCCAAAGCAACCACTTGCTTTAATTTGAAAAAGAAAAAGGAAAATTCTCAATTCACATGCTCGGATGTCACTATTTTAGCTCTTTGAACCGAGAGGGGTTTTCTGCAAATATCCTTTGCTTAACCATTTTCATACTAGTGGTTATAAATTTATAATGTAGAACTATAATCTATTTTCATAAATTTAATAGGTTAATTTTGAAATTAAGTTCAATTTGAGAAGTCTATCCTCAAACGACGTCCGGATCTTAAAGATGATCCATTCATTGATTGGACACTCTAAGAAAATAATTTGAAACATGAAAAAGAAATATATCACATTCAACTATATATGAATACCATTGGTTACAAATAGTATATCAAAAATAATCCCCTAATAATTGGTTTAACTTTGAAAGTAAAACTGATCTACTTGTGGAAATCATGAATTGCCCATAATAAAAGAGCACAAATCTGATAATATACAAGACAAATATTTTTTTTACTTAGAAAAATAAAAGATAACATTCCTAATAGAGGAATAATATTTTTTCTAAAAAAACTTCTGTGATCACACTGGTCATGTAGATTGGCTTCGCACTAGTCTAATTGCGATTGAATACTTGAATCCCAGTGTCATCTATTTAGTTTTGCAGTGGAAAAATAAAACATAAAATTTCTTAAAGAGGAGCAATATTTTTCTAACAAAGCTTCTCTGATCACGCTGCTCATGTAGACTGACCATACACTAGTCTAATTGTGGTTGATACTTAAATCTCGGCGCGATCTCTTTAGTTTTGCAGTAGACTAGTCTGTACAACATATAAATGGTGATGGCACCATCTCCATCACTTACTTTGGAAACATAAATCTCTTATGAATTAACGGTTAATTCTCAATTTAGTCAAATTTGGCTAAATATATCTTACATTTTTGAAGGTGTAATTATGCTAAAATGAACATTTGAAAGGGTGAATTTGCACAAAATCAAAAACCATAATAAAGCAATCCAACACTTTTTTGCTTTGTCATTATTACTAGGAATACGTTAGCTAACCTCTTCAAAAGCGACACAACAACTGCGATCAAAGAAGGGCGAGGAAATCAGAATAAATTCAATAATAAATTAATAAAAAGAGTAACACCGAGTTTGGCCGCTCACACTCTCTACTCTCTTTGAGCGCTCTCTCTCTCTCTGAAGAAATCACACTGGTTCTCACTGCAATCAAGGTACTCTTTGATTTCTCCAAATGGGTTCTCTATTCTCTTCTTTGTTTTGTCTGAAAGTTTTGGCCTTAGCCCATCTTGTCTCTTTATCAGGTTTTAGCAAAGATGGCTCCTTCGGTTGCTTGAGATCTTGTGCCCGTTGTTAGATTTTGAAGCTCAGCGCACAGGGTTTGTGTTTCTAATAAGCACAAAATATTGGCTTTTTTTTATTATAATTTTGTGCTTTAAACTTTTTTGGAAGTGTTTGTTGGTTTATTGATGGTATTAACCATATGGGTTTCTTCAATTTCTGGGAGGTTTTAGGTTTTGGTTGTTTACTGTTTACAGAGTTGGGCTTAATTTGTGTTTTCCTCCTAGTTGAATTGTTTTGAATGAGAAAAATGCAAACTTTTGGAAGGTAAAATTATATGAAATCAGATTTGGATGAGTGTGGAAGTTATATTCTTGGTTGAATGCATATGTTTACCATGTTATCGAACTTGATGGTTTTGTAATTTGTATATGTTGGATGTTTTACATTTTTATGTATGAGAAGCTATTTTTTCCCCAGTTAATTGTGTCAAGTATCTAATTTTTTTTCCTTTGAAAGGAAGGTGCTGGATCATTTAGCTTAAAAGGCTTTGAGATGTGAACCAGAATGAGTAGTTGGCGTGGGATGATGTTGTTGTTGTTGGTAAATAGCAATTCTATGGAGTTTGTAGATATTCCTTTTGTATAATGATAGATGTTAATTGTGCAGATAATCATAATTTGAACATACCTGCAAATAGTATGAGGAAATTGACAATGTGGAAGCATGGAGACGAGTTGATGCAATTTCATTCAGAAGAAAAGCTCAATAGTTGGAACCTTGACAGTTTTTGGTAGTCCTTCCGGAACACTTGGCGATGAAAAATGCTTTAAATCTATAGAGGAAGAGAGAAAAGACCAATGGAAGAAATACATTCAAGCTCCGATAACTATAGGTCATCCTCATCCTCAGCAAGTAGTCCAGCAACAAAACCTCATTCCGGAGCCTTCTTCTATCTCCGGAAACCAGGTTTAAGGCAACAAATCTCGTTCGAGGATTCACCCGAATGGGATGACACCGAGATCGATGCAAATTTAGAGGACGTGGGTGATTCAATCCACGTAGCAACTAGTACAATCTCCCCTTCATTATCCAAAGTAAATAGCGGATCACTTCCATCTCCATCGTTTGCTGAGGCATCCTCAGCGGTAATTTCAAGAAAAATTGCAGGGGCTTCTATTGTGTGGAAAGACTTGTCAGTTACGGTTAAGGAAAAGAGGAGATATTCTGATAAAGTTCTGAAGAGCTCGAATGGCTATGCTTTGCCAGGAACACTTACGGTTATCATGGGCCCTGCTCGGTCGGGGAAATCGACTTTGCTCAGGGCAATTGCAGGTTTTTTGTAGCACTCTATATTATATATACCGAGGGTTTTCTTTCTGTGTATATACCCCTTAAATCATGCATATTTGCAAAACTTCCTCACAAATCTTGGGCTAGTCTTGCAAATACTGTGTTTTTGGGGTAGGTTTGGAAATATGCATGATTTAAGGATTTAAGAGGTTAATATACAAATGGCACAGGGAGAAGCATTAATACCAGTACTACATTCTAATTTGTAGATTGACTAAGGGATATTGAAAATATTAAACTTTTAAGCCAATGAATGTCAGATCAAATTGATGTGTATATAGATTTCATGGAAGGAATTAGTACATTTGACCTTGATGTGCGACAAACTTATTGTTGATATGCTTGTTTGAATGGTTTCTCTGTAGGTAGATTGCGTGACCCAGCTAGAATGTATGGCGAAGTTTTTGTGAATGGTGTGAAGTCTCAGATGCCGTATGGTTCCTATGTAAGTTCTTGGGTCTGTTTGCATAATACTAGTATTAGAATTACAACTTTTACGTTTTGACATTTATATTTTCGACTATTATGCTTCAATGTTGAATCCAGTTTAACTGCCAGCCTATTCTCTACAAAGAGAACATAACTGAGTACCTTAGGACTAGTATCTGTTTGGATGATGTAAATATGTTCAAGTTTTAGTACAAAAGCCTATCCGCATATTCTTTTACTTCAGCAAATTTAAGCTGCACCATTTGAAGTTACTTCATTTTAGTCTAAATCCTTATCCAATTGTCCTTGCAATAAAATGAAATCCTTTCTATTGGTGGGTTGATATGCTGCAACATTGCAGCTTCGGTCAGGAGAAAGTGAAAGTCAATTGGCCGGTGAGAAACCCTACCTTGCCAGTTAAGGACATGTAAACACTGACCAACCTTCAATATTTTTCAAAATTTTCTATCAACTATTCCAACATTATATATCTTCTTGAAACTAATTCAATATCTAAGGTGCAAACACCAATTTACTGTCTTGAGCTTGGACAACTTTCCAAGATTAAAGGCCCAACATTGTATCATCTTCTTTGACCTTTTGTCTTAGTCTTTCAACTTAGGCCTCTTATCTCTTCCCAAAAGGAACCATAGAAGCTCAATGGCTTTAGTTGTTTGTTAGTGTTTTTGTACTTATTTGATAATTTTTTTTCCTTAAAAACCAAAGCCAATTTGATTGACTCGAAATAGAAAGATTTTTGTTACACAAGATTCCTGCAAACTCTGTTATGAATCTTCTTGCGTACAAGTCTGTCTCTTCATTATTTTGCGAGGTTACACATGTAGATGACTAAACTATTACTTTCTTCAGGGATATGTTGATAGAGAAGATGTTTTGATTGAATCACTGACTGTCCGGGAGATGTTACACTATTCAGCACTCCTACAGCTTCCTGGTTTCTGCTCTCAAAAGAAGAGTGCTGTCGAGGATGCAATTTTAGCTATGTCCTTAGGAGATTATGCAGACAAACTCATCGGTGGACGTTGTTTTATGAAGAGTCTTCCTCGGGGTGAAAGGAGGCGTGTCAGTATTGCTAGGGAGCTTGTTATGAGACCACATGCTTTATTTATAGATGAACCTCTTTATCATCTTGACAGGTTTTCTTTCATTCTTCTTTAATATTTCATCTTGTTGATAATGCAAGGTTTTGTAATGGTTTAATTTGTTTCTAGTGTATCTGCACTTCTGTTGATGGTGACACTGAAGAAACTTGCAAGCACAGGCTGCACTATCATCTTCACAATGTACCAGAGCAGCACAGAAGTCTTTGGCCTCTTTGATCGAATCTGTTTGCTTTCGAATGGGAATACATTATTTTTTGGAGAAACATTGGCCTGTTTGCAGGTAGTCTATCTTTATATTTTAATATTTATTTGCTTGCCTGATGCGTAATCATATTAGATTTGCATTTTACAAACCTAACTGGGTTCTTTAATTTAACTTATATCAGTCAGCTGTTTATTGCTTTGATATCTTTCAGAATTATGTATCTGATTATTTTTCATAGAAAAAGTTGTGGAGAAATCAGAAAAACCAGATTTTCTGGCATAAGTCTACTCATGCACAAGGCTAAGTCGACTTATGGTAAGTCGACTTGTCAGTGGTGCACGAGTCGACTTACGATCTGCACTGGAGTTATGATTTTTCGCTCTGCCAAGTCGACTTATCAGGCCTGATAAGTCGACTTATGAAGTGGTCTCTAGTTGCTGTTTTTCTCTCTGCCAAGTCGACTTGTGGTGACTATTAAATCGACTTACGACGGGTATTTTGCATAATCAGGTTTCCTGTTTGCACTCTGATTGGGTTTTTGTTTTGATATAAATAGGAAAACGATTTGTTAGGGTTTTTTATCAGAGATTGAGGAATTTTTTGAGCATTGTGAGAGGGAGATATTGTGAGCAAGGTGAGATCTTTGGTTGAGGATTAGTTTGAGAGTTTTGTGTGATTGTAACCCTTTGTACTCTCTTTGAATTAGTGAAATATCCCCATCCTCTCCCCGTGAACGTAGGCAAGTTGCCGAACCACGTATATCTCTGTGTTTGGTTTGATTTGTCGTATTTGGCTTGGTTTGTGCAAGAGTGTGGCTTTCTTCTTCCGTGATCTCAAGTTCGTTGTGTGTCGTGCAACGCTTCCGCATAGGCGCGCGACAAGTGGTATCAGAGCTCAGATTTCAGATCTGGGGTTTTGGATTAGGTGGAGGAAGATTCAGTTGGAAGCTTGGTTCTTGGAGTTCTAGGCTTTGGTGGAGTTAGGGTTTGAAGTTACCGTTGAAGATCTCGCTTTCCTCGTGTGGTTAGGAGTTCTATTTGGAATCCAATCTAGGGTTCAATTGGGTAATTTCTTATTCTTTTCAAAGTTTGGATCTTTCTCTACAATTTGGAATTTGTGATTATGGGTGAAGAAGTTGGTGAAAGCAGCAATATGACAAGCACAGTTCAAGTGGGTTTTCAGAACACTAAGATTAGTGTAGTGAAATATGACGGCAAGATTAATTTTGGTTTGTGGATGAGCGACGTACAGGATGCGCTCAATGCTCAAAATCTGGAGGAGACCATCATGGTCGATGTGAGGCCACCTAAATATGAAGAGGCGATATGAGAAAAGATGAATCGAAATGCTTGCGGGGTGATCAGGTCCTGTTTGGAACATGAGCTGAAATACGATATGATTGGGGTGACGTCTGCAATGAAGATATGGAAGATTCTCAACAACAAGTATCTCACGAAGAGTGTTGAGAACAGGTTGTACTTACTGCGAAGATTATTCAGATTTCAGATGTCCAGAGGCACCTCGCTTGCGGCTCATGTGAACTACACTAAGTTGTTGTCGGACTTGGCGAACGTGGATGAGAAGATCACAGATGAGTATAAGGCTATTATTCTTTTGGGCTCCTTACCGGATGAGGAGTATGATACCTTCGTGCTTACGTTGCTGAACGGGAGATCTTCTATCACTTATAGTGAAGTGACTAACGCATTGACGAACTATGATTTGAGGAGGAAGGATAAGGAGACTTTCCGCGCTAGTACTTCAGGAGAGGCATTGTCGACGAGAGGTAGAAGCTCATATCAGAAAGGTGGAAATAGAGGGAGGTCAAAGTCAAGAGGTCATCACCAGCTTGGAAAGAACCAATGTGTATTCTGCAAAGAGCAGAGACATTGGAAGAGAGACTGCCCGAAAGTCAAAGAAAAGGAGAATAGCAAGAATAAGGGCCCGAAGGCCAATGAGGTGAATGTTGCGAAAGACGATGATTCCGATGATTCGAGCTTTTCTCTTTTGATTACTCCGTGTTGCGAAAGACGATGATTCCGATGATTCGAGCTTTTCTCTTTTGATTACTCCGGAGGTGAACCATTTGAATGCATCAGAGTGGATGTTTGATTCTGGCGCTACTTATCATGTGACTCCTAGGCGAGATTGGTTTTCATCATTTGAGAGACTTGACGGGGGTGTTGTTGTCATGGGAAATGATCAATCCTGTGACGTTCGTGGGATAGGTACTGTGAGGATTCAGATGCACGATGGAGTAGTCCGTGAGTTGAAGGAGGTGAGATTTGTTCCTCAACTTAAGAAGAATCTTATCTCAGTTGGAGCTTTGGAGGCGAATGGATTCAGGGTGACCTTTGAGGATGCTGTAACAAAGGTTACTAAGGGATCTTTGGTGGTGATGAAGGGAGTCCGTAGTCATAACTTATACTATCTGAAGGGGAGCACCGAGATTGACCAGGTTGCTTCGGTTATTTCAGAGGCGGACATGAGCAGACTTTAGCATTACAGGTTAGGGCACACAGGAGAGAAGTCACTGCAGGCTTTGTGCAAGCAGGGGCTATTGAAGGGAGCCAAGAGTGGAAAGATTGAGTTCTGTGAGCACTGTCTTCTTGGTAAGAAGACGAAGGTGAAGTTCGGGACGGCCATTCATAGGACGAGGGGTTTCTTGGACTACGTGCACACAGATGTTTGGGGTCCCACCAAGACGGCATCACTTGGTGGTCGACATTGGTTCGTTACATTTGTTGATGACTATTCTAGGCGTTGTTGGGTGTACACCATGAAGCATAAGAGTGAAGTCCTAGATTTGTTTGTGGAGTGAAAGAAGAGATTGGAACTGCAGACTGGGAGAAAGATCAAGACGTTGCGATCCGACAACGGCGGCGAGTATACTTCAGACCCCTTTCAGCAGCTATGTCGAGACGAGAGCATAGAGAGGTACTTCACAGTTAGTCATACACCGCAGCAGAATGGGGTGGCAGAGAGATTGAATCAGTCTTTGTTGGAGAAGATTCGATGTTTATTGGCGCATAGTGGTTTGGAGAAGATCTTTTGGACTGATGCACTTTCTTATGCGAGCCACCTCATTAATAGGCTGTCTTCATCTGCGATTGAGGGGAAGACCCCTATGGAGATGTGGTCGGGAGAGACAGCACATGACTATGACCAGCTTAAGGTATTTGGTTGTCCTGCATATTATCATGTTAAAACTGATAAGTTGGAACCTCGAGCTAGGAAGGCCATATTTGTAGGATTCAAGCGTGGTGTCAAGGGATACAAGCTTTGGGATCCAGTTGATAAGAAGATTGTGCTGAGTAGGGACGTCACATTCGATGAGGCTTCTATCTTGAAGCTTCCCAGCTCTCATCAGGTGGAGAGCAACCCGACAGAGGAGATTTCGCAGGTGGTGGAGATTGATGCAGCTCCACAGAGTCCAGATAGTGCAGTATCCATGAGAGTGCCGACCGAGGTGACGCCAGGCGAGCACGACGGTGATGCGGAGGATACGGGTACTCATGAGCAGGATCAGGGACCGACGGCTCAGGTTCAGGATTCTATTGCGGCACGGAGACAGAGGAGAGACATACGGGTGCCAGCACGGTATGCCGACACAGTTGCATATGCACTTCCGGTGGAGAGTATCGATGAGATGGTGCCTACTACATTCAGAGAGGCCGAGCAGAGTTCGGAGGCTGATTCGTAGCAGGTGGCTATGCAGGAGGAGATGGAGTCCCTTCACAAGAACGATACATGGGAGCTTGTAGAGCTTCCAAAGGGGCAGAAGGCGGTTGGGTGCAAGTGGGTGTACACGAAGAAGGAGGGCATTGAGGGCACTCCAGTGAGGTTCAAGGCTAGGTTGGTTGCGAAGGGCTATGCACAGGAGGAAGGTATTGATTACAATGAGGTTTTCTCTCCGGTGGTGAAGCACTCTTCAATTCGGATTCTGCTAGCTTTGGTGACACAATATGGATTAGAGCTAGATCAGTTGGATGTAAAGAAGGTATTTTTTCATGGTGATCTTGATGAAGAAATATATATGACTCAGCCATTGGGATTCCGAGCTGCAGGGAAAGATAAGTTGGTTTGCAGGTTAAAGAAATCGCTATACGGTTTGAAGCAGTCTCCTCGACAGTGGTATAGGCGATTCGATGGTTTTATGCTTGGTCATTCGTACACTCGGAGCCAGTTTGATCCTTGCGTGTATTTTCGCAAGTTGAGAGGAGGTGCGTACATTTATTTGTTGCTTTATGTCGATGACATGTTGGTTGCCTCTAGTTCCAGGGGTTGCTTCTAGTTCCAGGTCAGCTATAGATGAGTTGAAAGTTCAGCTTTCGAATGAGTTTGAGATGAAGGACTTGGGCGAGGCGAAGCGTATTTTAGGGATGGAGATCGGCAGAGACAAGAAGAAGGGCAGGATTTGTTTGACACAGGTGGCTTATTTGAAGAAGGTTCTACAGCGATTCCATGTTAGCATGGATACGAAGCCAGTTGGTGTACCGTTGGGAGCCCATTTGAAGCTTTCAGCTGGCCTTTCACCGAAGTCAGTTGAAGACCGTGAGTTGATGTCGAAGACTCCGTATGCGAGCACAGTTGGGAGCTTGATGTACGCGATGGTATGTACGAGGCCGGATTTGTCACAGGCAGTGAGCATGGTGTCGAGATACATGCACGATCCAGGAGTGGGTCATTGGGATACCGTGAGATGGATTTTGAGGTACATTTTAGGTACACTCAATGTTGGTTTGGTTTATGAGCGGGACACTATAGGTGGGCAGCTATGCATTGGCTATGTTGATTCGGATTATGCCGGGGATTTGGATAAGCGCCGGTCTACGACGGGGTATGTGTTCACTTTGACCCGTGCGCCGGTGTGTTGGAGATGCACCTTACAGTCGACGGTGGCTTTGTCTACGACGGAGGCAGAGTATATGGCAGTTACGGAGGCTGTGAAGGAGGCGTTATTTGGCTTCAAGGACTTTTGGAGGGACTTGGTATATCGCAGAGGTCCGTCACTATTCATTATGATAGCATGAGTGCTATATATTTGGCGAAGAATCAGGTTTTTCATGCGAGGA